AACGGCTTCGTGGCCATATTAAACAAACCTTAGTTTATAAGAAACTGTTCAAATCTTATTATAAGTTAAACTAACAATTTATGTAGCGATATAAGGTTGAATTACATGAGAACTAATTCAGGAAGACAAGTGATAAAAGGCTACTAAGACTTAAGAATTGTTCTATATTGCCAATATGTGCAAAGCGTAATCAATTAATGTTACTAAACACAACTACTGGGGTGGGAAGACTATGGATCAGGAGCCAGGACCAGGAGATACCTCGGTCGCTCCAAACTGTGCAAGTACATATGTGCACTGATCAAAAATCAAAACTAAATCACTGTTATCAGCTTCAAAGAAAAATGCGCTCATTATCATAATATCAATACTGATGTATCAGTGAACTTTAGTCAAACAATTAAGATAATATATATTCCTCTATTTTTTTGATAAGTTTAAGATCTCAAAGTGAACTAAATAAGGTGCTACTAGTATCTTAAAAATGAATCCGAGTGACACTGATACATCGTCAAACTATGTCATCAAAACAAATATTTTTCTCCAAAAATGTAACTGATTGGTGTTAAAATATTTGTGAAATGAACTGATATGACGCACATGAGTTTAAACATTCGAATAAAGGAACTAAGGAACAAACAGTGATAAAAAATTTAAAATTTCCCGCCAAATTATTTAGTAATTAAATGTAAATAACAAGAATTTACTTATAAGGAATTTAATTATTATGTCATTTAAAAGCAATCGTTTAAAACGAACTAAGCCGATATTCTACTTACTTGATATGAAACTTAAAATTACATACACTTTAAGTTTTATAATTAAACTTAAGATGTCGGAAGACGGTGGATAAGCAGTCCACACATCTGCGTCTTACTGCCTGTGTCAGGTCGTGAACAAAACCCCATTAATCTATACATAGTAAATAAATGTAATCTATAAAAGAGAATTATTAATACATTTCAACCGCTTTGTTCTCGTAAAAACCATATGCATAAAACAATAGTGAAGTGTCAAGGAAACTTTACCTACAAAGTTACGATATTTTCAGAAGAAAGGACCATCACATAAAAACATAATATATTTTTAAATTTTCGCTATCGAAAACTTTATGTCACTCTAATAAGAGCTTTGACGATATGCAAGATAAAGACGAGAATTGATTGAAAGATAAAAGTGGCAATTTATTTACTTCGAATCTTAGGTAGACTTATAGGTATATTTAGGTAGGTAAATGCAAAAACGATTGAGTATCGCTTTGGGAATAGACAAATTGATTTAAATAAGAATAATGACCGTTATAAATCAAATTTAATAAACACACTTCCTTTCAATATTAAAAAGTAGATTTTATTCAAATCCCTTTGCGGAGAGATTGTACATTTCGAATAATAATAAAGAATACGAAATATTATGAAGGCTTGTAACTTCCATGTAATTTCTTTTTTTTTACTTCCGTAACTAAATTATATAATCTCTCTCAAAAATAGATGTTAGGCTATCCTTTTCTGATTTAACAAATCTTACACTGAAAGTGCTGAAGTACTAACCTTTAACCTACTTCATTACCTTACACTTAACTACCACTTACCTAATGAGTGCAAAACAGTGACTTATAACTAACACTACTTTACCTAACTTTATACAAATACGTAAGTAATTAAACCGCAACCTATAAGTTTCTATGACACTCCTCTGAAGTTCAATGTGAAGAAATTTAAGAAATTTGGATTAATATAGTATCAAGATATCTTCATGGAAGAGAAGTAGCAATTACTTATAATAAGGTGTCAAAAATTTGATGCTAAAAAGTACTACATGTATCTAGGACTTAACGATGTCCGAATTGTATACCTAAGTAAGTCAAGAATTAGGTTTAATATTGATATTTATAAATCTAAGTATATTTTGCAATTTAAATTTAAATTCATATACTTATTGATTTAGTGCACGCTATTTTTATCCTTATCTGGTCATGTTAATAGTCGCTGTAATCGCTCGTATGAGAAATGTTCCACTCACTATGTTCATTCAAGTTGTTTTCTTAGCATAATGTTATTACATAACAAAGAATGTCGCGCCTCATAGCGTGAATATATGTTTACTTCACTCAGTTAGATTAACACGGAATGCAACGCAAATATTCTGACAGTCCAAATAAGAATACATTAGTGTTATTAGAAAACTCAAAGATCATGTTAGATATTTACTTTGCATACACATCAGAATCTAACTAGAAAATTAATAATTTATTTTTACTCCCATAGTTAATAATATAACTGCTTATAGAGTAGTACCCGGGACATCTCTCCATTCGTAAACACAGATAATATTTATTGTTGTAGTTGCTAACAAGTTGGTCGTGCTAGCGAGTTTGTGAAACATACACTGAACTACTTACATTGATTGGAACAGCACCCACAAAAGGACAACCCGAGACGCTCCCAAAGTTTTCATCTGAAGGACAGTTGGTTAAGTACTTGTCTCGTCCTCTACACTTATATACCACTCATTTCTTAATACACGTGTCAACAGAATGGTTGCTTCTACTGCTAGGATACTTTAAATACATTCTACGGTTCCTTATTCATAGAACTATAGGTAATAATAGATAGTCACGACATCGAAATTGAAGACTTAATGCCTTACGTAGGCCTGCTAAAACTAAGTTGAAAAGGCACTGCAGGGAATTCTTTAGTATAAAACTTAAATATCTTTAGAATTAATACCGAAAACTTAAACAATGACCACATCTTTGCAACACCTGAACAGACTACGTGTGACCTTATATTAACTACAGCTTACAATATAATGCTTAAAAGTACACAAGAAATTCGTAATCTCTTTCACTAATAAACATACGTGTATCTTTTGGTGAGCTCATATGCGTTAATAAAATACATCAAAGACAAACAATCAAAGCAGTAAATACATATACACTTCACAATAACAACAATGTTATATTATCGAGATTCATGTAATTACAGGTTCTAGAGCCTCGTGAGTTTAACTGTGAATGTTCACGCGTTATCAGACATTATTGTATTAATACGTAGATCAAACAGCGTATTGTTGAAGATAATTTAGTTGAAGGTATTTCAGTAGCACACAAGGTCGATGGAGGGATAACAATGTTGTAAGTAAGTGTAGTTAGTTGCGAGTGTGGCTCAGCCAGCGCGTTGTGTTCCGAGCTCACACTCGGGGCGGCTTACAGTTGCCAAGCTGTTGTTGATGACTACACAAACTCAGCTTCTCTTTTAATCATAAAACGGAACATCTCGACAACACCAACATGCGTTGTTATTACAAAGCCACTTTACATTCTAAACAAGAGCGACCCGACACCAACAGTCAATAACGTACACATTTAATATAACCCATAAATAAAAAACTACCTCAGCCATGCTGGACATTTATTTAACCCGAGTCGAACTCGAAAATATACAACATAATTAGTTTATAATTATATAAGCATTACGTAAACTAACTATCTCTATATACTTGCAACATAATACGCATCGATATCGTCACCGAGAACCGCCAGACCGCGCATAGGCAATAGTTGTTTTCACACATTCCATTATTTGAGTTCAATTTGATATAGAATCGCTAATACTACATATTCACCGAATGAATGATATGAATTCGAGCGAAACCACAAATACACGTAGTGTTGGATCAAAAACAATACCTTCAAATAACAATTTCACTATTAAAACATTACAGCTCGCAGTAAATGCGTCCCTCCAACATCCATTCATTTGTTGAAAGCTGCGTTCAGTATTAATTAGGGTATAGGCTCATCAAAATGTTTCGCTTTGCAACGAACTCCATTATTCGCTATGAAAATTATATTGACATTTCAGTTCGCCCCGTGTTCTGGCTGCGAACATTCATCAATCGAGTCTGGCGGGATCCTGGCTTAATACAAGCATTTATACTCGAACGTTCTATACTATACATAATTACATAAAATATATACATAATACATCTTTAAAAATTATTGCCGACAGAATACACGTTAGTTATAGTCGTAATTAATTAATAAAACAGTAATTTACGGGTACCCATGTGACGTCTATCAATTTTCTTTGTTTGTTTTGTGTGACAAAAAGACGTAACCAGCGAATGTTTGCCAAAAATAAAAGACAGACGATGTAAAAGAATCTCGTATTACTCATTAAAAAGTGATTTTTCAAGAGCATTAGAGAAGCACTATTGTATTTTTAAATTATTGTTTTAAAATTCTGTGTTACCTAACCTATTATTTCTTTTAGACTTGCGAATTTTACGCGAGCAATTTAGTTGTGTGTAAATTAAAAATTAAAAATGATATGATGTTACACGGATACAAATGTTTCATTCTGTGATGCATTTATATTATTTTATTGTAATATTTATTTACCTACGAAAACTCTTCTACATACCATTGATTTAGCTGCACCAATAGGGCATTTTTAATATTCGATTTATCATCCATAACTACTTTATTCTTGGTGTTACGTCTTACAGTTAGCTTAATACTAATTGATCCTCACGTGTGTATAGAACAAATCTACATTGTTATAATACCTTACGTAATATCAGAATATCTAAAAAAAGCTTCTCTTCATTTACTTCGTTACCTACTTTTTATAAAATTTGATAACAAATTGTTAACAAAAATGCTTCATTTAAATTCGATGCATCGAACTCTTAATAACGCTACATCATTCCGTAGAATAAATAGATCAAAACTTACGCTAGAGTTATTTAATCTGACTTTTAATGAAATTGTATGCATTTTATCGGTATCTTATTTATTATTTACTCTATATTTTCATAAAATATTCCCGCTACGGTTGCCTGTTGAAGATATTTCCTACTAAAAATACTGCAGAAGAATGTAATAAAAATTAAACAGGGCTCTACGTTGCTCATTAGAATTAGTGCTAAGGACTATAATGACAGTATAAGTATAATTATAACAAGATAAATTCAATACAATTCTACTTTAAAAAGTTGATATATTTAATGATTATCTTAAGAGTCTTTTGAAACTTTTGTTGGACTAACTTTCTGACGTGGCAGTACTGAGATTGCGGTGTATGAACTTGATGGTCGCACTGCCGAAGCTAACAGCCGTTCCTCAGAACTTGTGGCTGGTCGCGGGTTGCTCGGGCGGCGTCACATTCATTCCCATGTTATCGTACGAGAAATCTAAAGTCGTGTCTTCGGCTGGATGTCGGTTACTAAGTGCAGTACTGATCGTTTTCGGCGTAGTCGCTCCCTGACTCTTCTCCGTTATCGAAGTCCTTGTTTCAAGGTCCCTTACATTCAGAGGCTGTTGCGGTCGTTTCGCTGGATCGGGGTTCCGTATTTCCAGTTTCAGTTCGTGCTTAGGTTTCGGCATCTCCGCGTGTGGGTTGTGATGTGTCAGGTCGTTTGGGTACTGCTTCACGCGGTTCTGGAAATTCGTGTTTGGAGTTTTAAACACAAGAAACCAAAACTCTTAAAGTCATAATATAACCGTTCTTTTTATAAGTACTTAGCAAAAATCGTATTAAAAAAATAATGAAAATTCTTTTTTGGAAGTACGTGCATTAAAAAATGTTTACCTTGGCCGGCTGAAATTTCTGCTTGATGTATCGCCATGAGAACTTGCCCCTGCAGACAATGATGAGGACGAGCACCAAGATTGCGAGTGCCACGGCGCTGATGATCAGAGCAGTCTGCGCTTGTCGCTGCACACCTTCGAAATCATAACCTTTGTCAACCACCTTTCACCAATATTCTACAATATTAAAACAATGCTACTGGATCACAAATATTTGGGCTTTAATTATAAGTACATTTTTGCGTCGCATGGCAAAAGCATTCGCAAAATTATTATTTAAATTTTAAATAGCACTAGCACTGTGCAGTTTACTGCAGAGAAATTTGTAGCGAGCAGTGCTTTCACCACTAAGTCAATATTACGCGTATAATGATTTGCCAATACTGATTCTATCGTCAATCAAAATGTGGAAGCAATTCTATTTTAGAATATAAACAGTGTAAAATATTGTAAGGTGCAAAATGGCATGTCTATGCCCGCAAAGCAGAACTTGTAGTAACTACACTTAACATTGTCAATGAAGAATTATTAAGGTACGTAGAGGACACTAAGGGGACTTAGGAACGCTACTAGTTGGTCGAGGCATTAGATGTCTGCCTGTACAGAACATATAATTCATTGGAAAAGTTTACAACTTTAGTATCCAGCTGTATTTAGTAATACATGTGAGAGTCCGGCTGTAGTAAATACTATTTACTGCTCTATGTAACTTACGTCGACCTCATTCGGTGTTACATGTGGCACAAGGCTATAGCCACAGGTCTAAATAAGGCAGGATCAGTTTTGTTCGCAGAGGCAATGTTTATAAAATTCGCAACAGGCAAACAATCAGTTGTAATTTATAATTTTAATAAAATTAATATCAATATAATTATGTATTTGTTCAATAAATTAAATTTAGAATATCTGTAAACAGACTGTAATATTGGCGCTCAAATCAACAGCAACTAACTAAGCTACATTTTTACAAAGTTTATTAAAGTTTGGAAGCGCCAGTCTGAGCACAGCTATTGTTAACTTCTGAAGGCAGTGCAGACATGCACATTAAGAAATATCGAATCAAAGAATCAATAACACTCGTACAGAAGTTGAAGAGAAGCGAGGTCTTAAGTTTATTCAAGATTCGCAGTAAACATGTCTCCCGTCCAATTAAAGTCTAAAACTTGGATATTCGCTGTGCAATCTGCAGACTTGCATAAACTTATAATAACAGATTCACAACACTAGACAACGGTACATCTAATAGTAAAATTGTTTTTACTATTTACTTATATATATAGGATTTGTTCGAGCTCAACAAAGTCTCAGCTTATTCAATATTAACCCGACGAAGCGCTCAATTGGACAGCCAAAGGACATTCTCATATAAAACTCAGAAACCAATTTATATCTTTTTTAAAAGAAATATAAAGTTTCGATGTTCTAAGAAATAAACATTTATTTTTAATATCACTGAGACAAAATATCATTACTTATTTGATTGTTACTGAGACTGTGATATTTTTACTGGCTCTAGATTTTTATATTCTTGGTTGAAAATTAAATTACTCGAAGGAGAAAAAAATAAGTTCATAAATGTTTTTATTTCAAGCACAATTTTTTTCTTTACAAATGAAGTAACAGTTATTACGAAATAAAATACTTCGATTCGGTAATCATTTCAATTGTAGAATCATAACTCTAATTCGTAATTTATTTTTGTGATTTTTTTTTTAATTTCGGAACGTGTCTAGTGTACTGATTGTGTAATAGCTAGACACGTTTCAAAATATCCATACAAGTAATAAGGTAAACAATTAAAGTTAATGTTTTTGTCATTAAGTAGTGTTGAACTCATTAACGCTTGCAAGCAGCCGTTTAGAGGCCTTACTTCACACTTTGAACTTCGTCGAATACAAAATTGAGATGCTTCTAACTTTTTTGTAAACTGAGCTTACTTATTTTCTTAATAAAATAATGTTTTTCTATTGTGAATAAATTATTGCCATTAGAACATAGAATTGTTTTACCACCCATATTATGTTCCAGATAATTATATAAATACGGCTCATAATTCGCACAAATATCGTTCTATATTCAAATTTAAATCTGATTCATACTGGCTGTAAAGATAGTGTAAAATAGGTCCTTTTTTGTAAAAAAAACACTAGCTAGCATTCTTCAATTAAATTAAAGTTCGAAATACCTTTATAAATGCACTGGATACATTTAAATATGGAACGTTATTTGTATGAATTATTATTAAGAAGGTAGTGAAATAGGCGTTAAAACATTTTATCATTGGTACACATCTACCTTCTTAGATAAGGACTTCTTTTAATTTTATAACCACTTATATGCACATAAAATTACCACAATATTACAGTCGCAAGAGCATTTGAACAAAGTACACGCACATATTAATATGTGTAGATACTTGAAGTACATAGGTAGGTATATGAACAAAAATATAAAATAGTATATTTACCGCTCAGATCCCCTGGAGGATGTGTTTCCTCTGACCTTCGCATGTACCTCAGATCGAGGAGGTAACCTGTAAATAAAGAAACAAGTCTGTAAATAAATAATTTAAAAACCTACATAGGTTTATTTAAGCGACTGGAATACATTAATACACTATAGAGACTATACATTCACGGATAACGGACAGCAAGTCTCCTCATGTACTTTTTAAAGTGCGATTTCAAACCTCCCGAGTTATAATATTATATTCAATATGATTAAAGAAAGCACTTCTTCAAGAGGATGGTCAATGGCCTGGAGCATGAGAAACGATGCACGGTGTGTTTTTGGGGTATTGAAAAGGCTATAAAAATAAAATAAAAATCCTTAATTGTGAGAAAGATTGATGCACTTTTCAGCCCGAAATTAGACCAAGATCGGGTTTTACTCTAACAAATAAATAAATTATTTATATTCAAAACGGACATAGCCGCATGTAGAATGGTAGTAAAAAACATGATATACATAGTGGCAGACTAACAAAAAATAACAATACAATATTACATAAGACTTAAATACTCAATCATGTAGCACAAATGTAATAACAAAAAAATATTGGCTCAAACACTAATGCGATAGAGGTGCGGAATGACGGTGTACAGAATTCTTTATTGTTTTAAAATATACAAGCTTTTATCCGTGGCTTCGCTCCCTTCAATTGACTACCTATAAAATCCTACCTATTTACCCACCTACCTACCCTATCCTTTGTTCTTCTTATGGTTCTAAACTACATCCCCACCAATGCTCAACCAAAATCGGTTCAGCCGTTCTTGAGGTACTTATAAATAGATTATACTAACACGACTTTCATTCATATGTATAAATGAGCATCAATTTCATCTACTACAATCAAAATTTATCATAGTCTTCAATTAAAAATTTTTCAGGAATGGTAAAAACCTTTTTTTTTAATATATGTACATATTTTATGACTCAAATAAAGTCGTGAGTACGTAAGAACACTTCTTTAATTTAGAGTTTACGCTCAATTTTGTTTAACAAATCAACATAAAATAAATCGATACTTTATAGTATTTTTTTCTATTTATGTCTGGATCACTGTAACTCCTGGCACGCTGTTAGATAGCCACTGATTCTAGTATCAAGATATCTCAAATGTAGCCCAGTCGACCACAGCACCATGCGTACACTAGGCTAGTACATACAAGATATTTGCCATAGTTGATCTGATTCCGACCACAACTTGCGCAAAGTCTCTGCTCTTTGTGGGAACACTCTAGAATCCCTTTTAGTGCATCTAAAGTGACTTGTTCCGAGTACAGGGAACCTTTGAACTCAGTATAACATTACATAACTGCCTATTTCCAGGCATTCCCTCCAAAGTTCTGTGCCAAAGGAGCATTTCTGACCTAATAAAACCCTATTAGAGCGACGATATTTATTACCTAAACAATGTTCTATACTAGATTAATTTTCATAAATTTTCGTAATAAATTATTTTTGTTTTTAGTAAAACATTTCGTAAAATTCAGATGGTTTCACAATAGAAAGCCACTAACGATACGGTACAGTTTCTTTGCTATGAGATAAGAAAAAATTAGGGGCAAGTATTATGTTGACACAGGCGAGGTCGGGAAAAAATGTCCCGAGCAAACAATTAGCAGGTCGAGCTGCGCCGACAGGTGCTTGCCCGGGCCACACACACACAGCGCCAGGCACGCACACACCTACAACAGTTCACAAAACTATCAACTATTAAACGCTTAGCGAATACATTGTTTCGGAACTCCCAGCTCTAGCTACGAATGAAAACAAAGGTAAACTCTGTAGTCTGTGCCGAATATTACAGGAATATTTCGTCAAACGAAATATTTTACATTGTCCTTTTTAGCGATATGAGCAACAGGGAACTCCTGAGATAAACTAAAACAGCGTTGCTGGGTGCTGTTTTGTATAAAATGATCATAACAAAGTTCTAACGTACTTCAAATTGTTTAGAGACGAACTCAATGAAACTAGCGTTTAATTGCATCGCTACATATGCGACAAACAGATTACACTTGTACAATTTATAAACAAGGAGCCACCTGTACCGCGGCACACACGGGCGAACTGCGCACACACACTCCGCCGCGCTGCGCATGTGTGCGAGCCGTACCTGTCAGAATCAACGGAGCATGACTTTTATGGGTATTGTTACACCCCTTACCAATGATCCTACAACTGCATTCTATTCAGGTCGTTATGAGTCGTGATGTGCGGAAAATAACGATCCGTTCGCCGAGGTTCGGATAACTTGGTACTGGCGTGCACCTGATACTTTTAAATTGTACAGATGATATAAGCGAAGCGAGAAGCGTCCGCCAGCCGTGTCTACTGGTACAACTTGTTAAAGTACTTTTTGATATTATACAGCTTTACCGAATGTATTGAAATCTTTTCAAAATGATAGCCATTCAGTATTCAATACAAGTCATTTTTCAACTATTCAAGCTCTTCCTTCAGGACTGACCTGGATATATGCATATTATGATGCATATGTAATAAGGTATATTTTCCTTTGATATATATCATCCACTTAGTACGAAATTTGAGTTTATAATTTCAAAACAAGGTTTCCCATAATGAGCAGCAGCCACGGCGGCATGGTTTAATACGATTTCCAGGTCGTGTAGTATGGACTGAACTAATGTACCAAGTACGTATTATTAATGCTGTCTAACGTGCGTGAGAGCAACAACTAAGTAAATAAGAGGCTTAAATGGAGTTTACAGGGAAAATTGGCGCTGTACTTGTTCAATCGTATTACTACAGTCTGCTTTGAAAAGCACTGAGCACCTAGGTACTTACAACTAAATGAGTACTTATTTAATAATGATAGAGTAACACGATATCTTTTTAAATGTGAGTACATTAGTGGGCAATATAATATCAGTTAAATATCCACTTTGGAATGCAGAAAAAAAATGTTTAACTCCATTCGCAGTAATTGAATTCGCTGTTTAAAAATGAATAAATAACGAATGCTTGCGTTCATTTTATTAATTAGTAGCCAGTCTAGTCTAGATTATAGCAATATTTTCCTCCGATAATAAAACGTTTGTATTCCGTTTACTCATTTTTTTATTTCGTACTCGAATCAAATAGAAATCTAATATTTATTTACTGTGATACTACGATTAAATAAAAGTAAGAGAAGAATCGAAGTAGATATTTTATGGCTCAATAATTATTACAATTATAATTAATGGATCTACCTGCCTAACCTGTTGCGTGTATTTTAATTCTGGAGAATTAATGATAACATTATATGTGTTCTCTCTCCATAAATTTATAAACTGATATAGCAGATATTTAAGTTTGGGAGACCCATGGTTCGTCACGAATGGGCCGACTCCACCGGTGTGCCGGATTGACACACCGACATGATTTTTTCATGTCGATTTTCTGTTGCTTGCTGTGTGTTTCACTATAAGGGAGTGGTTTTTTTATGTTATAAGTCGGCAAACGAGCAGACGGATTACCTCATGGTAAGCAATCGGCGCCGCTCATGGACACCCGCAACACCAAAGGAGTTACGAGTGCGTTTCCGGCCTTTCGGGGATAGGGGTTGCGGATATAAAGATCGGGAAGGGATAGGGGAAGGGACGGGATTGGGCCTCCGGTAACCTCACTCACACGGCGAAACATAACGCTCTGGTTGTTTCACTCCGGTATTCTGTGAGGCCGTGGTATCACTCCGGTCAAGCCGAACTATTCGTGCCGAAACTTGGCTCTCCCACACTTGCCAGGAGCAACAGGAGACCCTCTCATTCCCGATCCTGATATCTCTAACCGCCAAAAATCCTGCAATACAATGTAACCCCAACTTCTCCGAAATGTTTTGGATTCCTATGGGCATCCGTTGCTTACCATCAAGTGCTTTGTAAGCTGATGACCTAATTTCCAAGTAAAGTCAAATCGTAAAGTTGTAAGTACATTAACTTGTTATGATTACATTATTCACATGATCGGAGCACCGATGCGCTAAGAAAATGCGCAATGGTGCCGTCGCCACACCTATCTATTATAATGTTAACCTGTATGTTTTTACATTACAATCTCATTTTCATAACCACGTCATTTACAATGCTAATGAGCAAAAGTACCAACCTAATGAAAAGAACAACTCAATATCTAAATACGTAAAGTTTCAAACATAATATTTACTTAGCGACTGTCATTTCGTGACTAGTTCATTATCAGGCTCCATGTAGAGTTATTATACTACCGAAAACAGTTTATAATGTGTCACTATGTCAAGAGTCAAGACTACTCTCGACGCAGATCGTCCAGCATCCTTGCAGTGCACGTATATATATGTAATTCTGTTCGACATCTGCACCATTACCGTGTTGTTGGATGTATAAATGTGAAACCACTCTCATAAGAGATGCTTGACCTGAAACCTACACATTCTTTACTCAAGTGTAAGCGAGACAAATCACAAGTAAAGAGAGACAGCTACAACCGTAGGCGGTTTGCGGTCACGAAACTGGTTGTAAAGTTTATTGTTTAATGATAACAGCCTTTATAACTAAGACAGCTAAGTGAATAATCGATTGTACGCTGCTAGAGGTTTTATTATTATTTTTTTCGTATTAGTCATCTTAATGGCTCCAAGGATTTCCATCTGATGGAAAAACGGATGTTGTACATCTTGGAATGTTTGCCGTAGAGCAGATAACACGCGTGTTTGCCGGCGGCGATGTTATACGTAATGTTTTGTTATTTCGGTGGTACACTCGGATTACTGCGGGCTCTACGCTGTAAGTACTTGTACACTTGGCAATCTCGTCTGTACTGTGACACTTTACTGTTCATGTGTCACATAGATCAACGCGGTCAAAGAAATTATCTTACACGTCCATTTTCTCGTCAACATTGTATTTTCACACGTAGGTTGAAAATGAAACAAGTGAAAATTTAAAGCTGGTTTAAAGCTGCCATCGAAAATATACTCAGAAAACGAACAGTAGGTATATACATATACATATATAGGTTTTGTAAGGTGAATTTCCATTATTCTGATGAACTTTAATATTGATGAAGAACTTTACAAAATATTCATTATTATTTTGTATGTAATCTTTTAATAATCGGCTTACCTTGGCACTCTTTGATGCAGAGGCCAGCATCGTAGTTGTGGCTCGTTTTATTGCAAGCAACGCTGCAAGGGGCGCACCGGTTGGTGTCCGGCGAGCAGTACTCTTCGAGCTGGCAGACCAGTTGCCCGCATCTGATGCCATCCAGTGTCAGCTGCGCAGACGCGGCACCAGCTACCGCCAGCAGGCATGCTAATCTAGACATGGTTGATCTGCAAAGAAGGTTTTAAATACAGTTTAATTACTACTCGATAAATAAAAATGGTCTCCTTAAATACTTATTATAATAAATTAGACAACAAACATGAATCCTTAAAAGATTCAGTTACATTAAATAATAAATGATATATATATTTAATCGTTGACATAGTTAGCAGAACTTTTATCGTCAATAACAAAAGGAAGCCGCCCCAGTTAGGATTGAGTCGTACGAGAACAAAACATACACTTGAAACTCAAAGTAACCGCACTATTAAGTCCTTTAGGCGCAACGTAACAAAGGACTTAGTTAATGGAGAGGGGTTATAAAAACAGTTGGAGTCGACGTCGTGAGATCCCCCCCTAGTCCCACTCTTAACTTCAAAGGGATGCACGTTGCAATCAACTCTACATGCCATCTGCGAGACGTCAGATACAGCGACGAAATGATCACAAAGCAATACTAATCCCCATCTTAATGATAAGCATAATTTAAAAACAGAAGTATTTATCATTCCTATTTTGAATTTCCTTTTTTTATAAAAGGTGCTTGTGCTTCTTATTTAAGTAATAGTACAAAGATTAATCCAGAGATAGGTAATTTATACCTATTTCAAATGTATTATTAAAAAACAGATTTGCAGGTAACTGCCTACAATTTTATATTAGTGTTAAAAATGGACGATGAATGGTCATTGCCAGGGAACATTTAATGTAACATCCATTAGTGGAACTTTATGCTTATTAGCTTTAAGCTGATTTGTACGTCTATAGTATTTTGCTAAACCGTTAAGTATAGCGTTAAAATAGAATTATTACCAAAATGTTCTATTAAGGCTTTTTAAAATCAATATGTTTGTAGAAATTCTTTGCACCTTGAGGTCATGAATTTCTGTAATCATTGTCATTGGCTATCCAAGTAAGAAAAAAATAAAAATAAAAATAGTTATATACTGCATGTGAGCTGAGACGAAGGTTAAGCCCTAGGATGTAAACTTCATAATAATATTAAAATGTTAGTGATGAACTTATCCTTGAGCGTCGATTATTGACGCCCATCTCGGTCCTCGTAGTGAAGGAAAACGTCGAGTTCTCTTATATAAACTTCATTTACTTGCAGATTATATTGGCATAGTATTAGCATAAGTTATTTACACCCGACTAGCATGGCCAAGTGGGGGGAGATGAGTTTAATGCATTTAATACTAGAATATTAATTGGATTCGCGAACTCTGAATGAGTTACCTGTACTATGAATTGTTTTAATAAAAGTCTGATGATAAAGTAATTTCTTAAACCACTTATTACAAAAAAGTGTACTATTGTCGATGTTGAAAATCGGACAATCGAACACAAAGTTTCCGTGCTGACCAATCGCTAATAAATTGAAATAATTTCTGCATTAAAATGTTTAATAACATCACAAAATAAATAAATAACTATATAACTGAGGTAAAATAAAAATAAATTGAATGTTGTGCTAAAAAAATTGTACACGAAAAAAAAACACAACATAATGTTTTACGCCGAAACTAATATTGATTTCATTGTGTGCCTAGCATCGTGTGTGCTTAAATTTGAGACTCGGGGTACGTGTCATGTTAAAGGTTTTACTACTTAACGCCTAGACAACATTGTACTCGTTCTCGTATGTCGTTGCACGTCTTATGAACTGATAGCAAACACCATGTAAAGCCCAAGCTCGGTTCTGCAGTGCACCCGACCCGAATCCTATACGTATTCGTAAAAATACGATATACCGTTAAAACCGTACTCGTGAACTTATTTGTTAATAGTTTACGCAATAGGAAATAGGGCTATTTCCTTCATCCGAATTCTGTTGATCCTTTAACTGTGGATCTTCGTTCCAAATTATTGAAATAATTAGTCTTATAATATTTTTATAAACGCTATCGCAATTTTTGTTTTTAACTGAATTCGATTAGAGTGTTCTAAATTTGAATCAAACGAAATGGTGTGGGATGGAAAAGGGGGAACCGCTCAACTACTAGTAATGTTGTGTATATTAGACTTAATGCTTAAAATATCATGCAAAATTACCTGAAATTTACACATGCTTAAAATTGTATGCTATATTTTAACCAACGTAATACATATATGTACCTATGTAAGTACATTCATATGTATGTATATCTACGTAAAATGTACATACATATCTCTTGAATAAACAAAACGAAATACCGCACGCTTTTGGTTTAACCACCGTCAAAAATACAAACACAGGTTTGCAAATAAAAATATGCGATATATAAATTTATAACGAAAGGGTTTTCATCAGTTCCGTACAGAACAAATATTAAAATTTACTTTTTCCTTTGACGAGCCACAAATCGATGAGTCACATATGTATATACACATACAGATACAGACTATAAAGGTAGGTACAGCGGCTACGGTTGTGGCAGTCATTCAAAAAAAATAACGTATTTTATTTACTAGTTTCGTAAAAAACCGGTATTGATACAGCGATATTGCATCCGTTAAAACACGCCGTACTCAATTCACAACTCAATACACGTTGTATTAAAAAAAACTGAGCAACGAACTTGGCGGTATTTTTGTATATGTCCAATTATTTTAACGTCCGTCCTTTGCGAGTTAATCCTACCGTTAAGAGAATACAAACAGCATCGAGTTATGTGCTCACTCGAAATTATGTATTTTATTATGTGCTATTTACTACATACTTTTCTCCTATCGCTATTACGTGTGTACCTATGACTTTACGTCATCGGATATTTAAAAATAAAAGTGAGATAGCTAATGGCAATTATCCAATACCTATGTTAGTAATCCAAGTATTAATACGTAAACATCAGAAAAGAAAAAAATGTTGCGTCACTACTATATATAAATACAATCATATCAGTAAAAGATTCATCAGACAATTCATAATAATAACCAGGGATATTTCAAAGCATATAACAAAGACAGCTAGAAATATGAATCGAGTGTATCATGGCGCCGACAGTTTGCATGGGCCTATTCAAAAATGACAGTTGGTTACAAAAAATTTACCTAAGTAACAAATCACTTCCCACCTGCAATAATAATGCTTTAAAATAATAACCACTGCACACAATAGAGAACGGACCGTTAAGGTACCGATAAAAAAATATATTTAAAAGGACACGTCGTACTTTCGCTGCATAGTAAGCAGGATGAGTCATCGGTCTTATGCCGCGCTACTAAGGCGAACGCCATATTTCTTAACACTACACCTGTGCAACCCACAAGCTTTTTTTGGTAGGAAGGTAACATAGGACCTCCCACTAGATGAATAAATGAAGCAACAATTTTCGCTTTTATTTTTCACACATTCCTAAGTTACATAATAAAAGCGTGAGAAAGTATCAACAATGAATTGTTTTGATAAAAATTGCGATTCAGCATTTTCGGCCAGTTATGAAAATGTATGATCATCAATAATGACATTGTTTCGAAAAAGGAACTCGCCACGCGTTAGTTGACAATGTGAATTGAGCCTTGATCACGTCCGACGGCGCAGGCACTCGCTACATAGGCACGAGTAGGTATTTATATTGTCTGTAGAACATGCAACGTTGGTAAAATGACACGCGACGTAATCGACAAGAATTGTAAACAAATGACAACCGAGTACATAATATGTACCTACACAATAAGAGATGAATGAAAGTAATTGCCTGCCTCTGTGACATCGTAATTAAGAGCACTTTGTATAAAAATACTGAAGTTGTTTTTATAACAGACCTAAAGCAGTTTTCTCTTTGCTTCAATTCCTTTTACCGTTGTCAAAGCTCTATCCTCTTACGTTTATAAATTATTTAATGTATTTTTATTTATTATGACTTGTGTGGCTCGTTGTTTTTAAATAAAAAGTATTATTTTATGACGACTCCGCACCAAATTCAAAACAAATATGGAAAATTTAAAGTTACTTAAATAAATCATTAACACATTTCGCACGTTTATTTAAACACAGAAAACAAGGAAGATTTAAATTTGGAACATTAAAATAATACAAAAGAGGCTTAAACGATAACATCTCGTATTTAAATTAATCATAAATATCTGGTATTTATTTTATATTATTCACGAATGTGCCCGTGAACATCTACGCAGTACAAATGATTATAAACGACCTTTAATGTGTGAGTCATCAAATAACCGATGATTTTCGGAGGCTCACGACGTTTTCCTAGAGCGCCATTAAGTAAGTTGAGATCAAATTTAAGATAGTGTTTAATTAAACTAGGAAAATGTACAGCCATTGAACTCAAAAAGTATGAAATCGGACACAATGATTTAACCGAGACGGCTCCTATAGCCGCAGAAAAGATCAAGTAATCTCTATTACCTCGCCCAAAGCAAATTTAGTTCTCCTCACAAAACACCACATACCACACACCACACAGTATCTTATATTCCACTTTTCACGGAGGAAATAACGATTCAAACATTTTACACGATTTACTCATGATTGCCGACAAACGCATTTGTTCTGAATCACAAACCTGTATTGTTAGGTTTTTACTATCGTTGCTAGGCGACGGACATTTAATATGCTACACTTTAATCCATACCAACATTGGGAGCAATGTGAAGCGAAATGAATGTACAAATATTGATGGTTGACGTCCATCGTGATGGAGAGCCGACATCATGCCGTACTGAGCTGACCTGACACGTGACAGGACCATTTAAAAGTGTACCCTATAAATAGTTGACTGTTAAAATATCACCTGTTGTTTCAACGGTTCAAGCTAATACCCCCCGTATTGACCCACATGAAGACTGGTGATTCTAACGTACTTTATACATTGACGTTTACATATTTGCACAAAGTTGCAAAATACAGGGATGTGAAAACAATAAATAAGGCAGAGTGGGCTGACAGGCCAAGTTGTTTATTATTCATGCATCAATCGTCCCAGTCACAGTTGAAGACTAAACCTTACAGTTGTAAAATTGGTTCGGAGAGCATGGGCGTGCCTAACTAAGATTGATTTGA